AGCAGCAGCAGAAGCAACAACAACAACAACAACAACAACAGCAGCAGCAGCAGCAGCAGCAGCAACAACAACACCACAACACCACCGCCGCCGCCATCACCATCACCTCCACCATCACCACCAGCATTACCACCACCAACGGGAGCAACACGAGCACGAACGCCCCGATACTACCTCGCTCGATCGAGGATGGTGGAGGGTGGTGGACGCCTGGACTTCAGCTGCACGCGTGACTACAGCGCGCAGGTGGGCGGGAGAAGGTTCCTCTCCCAGTGTTCGATTCATAGGTATGTTTTAGCATCTAGGGTTTAAAAGTTTCGGGTTTGGAGTAGCTGTTCGACGGGAGTGCTTCGTCATGGGCAAGGGCCGCCAGAAATCCCACATCGTAAAACTTCGACTGAGATCCAACATGAAGATATGGGCTTTCTTTTTTTTGGTTTAGGACTCTTGGGGTTGAGAGCACTGGGTTTTAGGATTTACGTTTTGATGCTTTGATTGTCTCAGCCGGCGCTTGCGGGTACTCTGGGTTTTCTCTGGCTTGGTATCCGCAATTGGGAAGACGCTTTGAGTACCCCAGTGGTCAAAGCATAGATGTCCTCCTAGAGTTCCGAATCGCCGGACCCTATGAACCTATACCCTAGTCCCCAAAACCTTGAACCCAAAACCCTACACCCGAACAGGAACTATCATTCCGTTCCAATGTGCAGGAAGCCAGAGAAGCCTTCCAGCGTGTGGCGCAGCGGTATGGCTGGCTCAGGCGAGTCGGATACTATGGAGATCGGAGCGACTACCAACTATGATTGATAGTGGCACCTGTGCAGTCCGCGACAGAACTGTAGCATACTACGTATACTCCCACAACCCTACTCGAATTATGTTTAAGTTCAGGTTCCGACATTGGCTTCTTCTCCCCTGTGCGGAACTGTGCAAAGGATAACCAGCAGAGGCGTGGTTGTAATTCGTGTGCTCTTCTTAGCGCACAGAGTCTTAGGCGACAGCCAGTCCACCATATCAGCCAGAGTCAGTAATGGGTAGAGTAGGAACTCTGTACTATGTAGGTACTAGGGACCCCTTGGGATAGCAAAGATAACTACTTGGGACCGTTCCCATATCATGTCACCTTGTTGCAAATAGCTTGCAGGACTTGACGGCCGTGTGCGGCGACGGAGTGAGAGCTCGTTGTCATTCTCAGGACTAGATTCAGATATCTAGTAGCCCATGGAGGTCTCTCGATTTTTTTACCGACATAGGTTAGTGCTACTTAATCAAGTCTCGGTTAGTGCAGCAAAGGCATCATCGCATGTGTGACATGCGCAGGAAAATAGTGACGATCTGATTATCGGATGTCTGCATTGGCTGCCTGCCTAGAGGCCCGATCTGTCCATTAAAACTTGCCGTGCCACTGTTTGCGCTGTTTCGCTCGTTCTTGCGATGATTATCACTTGTCTTGTCGAATCGTGCCGTGTACCAGTATACAGTACGCTAAAGAAGGTACGTATGCCTTGGTGCAACCATCGCGTTGAGCCAAAATGGCTGAAGTGTTTCGAGCCCTATCCTTCATGTTGTTTGGTTCAAGAACCCCGACCAGGCGGAGGACATACAGCCAAATTTCCAAGAGAAAACCAAATTTCCGAAACTGTAGCTTGATTGTTTAGCATGGCAGTCGCAACCCATTGTTTATAAGGTTGGTGAAGGGGTGCTAAAAGGTGCGGCGAGCCGCCCGTTTCACACATCATGACCGATACCCCGCTCAGCCGCTATGCTGATGCTTGCAATCTTGGAAAGCGCCTTGGGCAAGCAAGAGCTCCTGCAGTTGTCGTAAGATCAGCGTAAGAGTTTTGCAGACTGAAGTGACGTTGGACGTGAATGATTCGCGGTTTTTGTGCTTGAAGCCTAGGGTTGCTGTGGCCTCAGCCATCATGAATCTGTGGGAGCGCTTTTCATAAGAGCGGAAAGGTCAATAGGCCAAAAAAAACAGCTACATATGTCGAACCTGCTGCCCATACCTTCTCATACATCGCCTACACAGGCTCCGACCTGACCCAGCCCTAGCTCTACACCGACGCCTACCGACGCCTACCCCAAGCCTTGCCCTGCTTTACACCTGGGCCTACCGACTATAGCCCAAGGCCTACCCCTAGCCCACGCTTTCCGAGACCCTTCCCGAAGGCCTACCCCAGCCTAGGGTCCGGGGCTTCTATACCCATCTTAGGGTTTAGGGTTTAGGGTGTAGGGTTTAGGGATCTTAGGTCTTAAGTCATATTTGACACTACGAAGGAGCTTGTCGATGCTTTCCGATGCTTCGCCAGCGTTGGTTGAAAACCTGGCACTTGGCCCGGCAAGCAGCTCTCAGGCTTTGTGTATTTTTGTGTTGTTGTTTACATAGTCTACACAAGACATACACGGGGCATGTGTGGATACTACAACTTATATATACATGTATATCATCATCATCATCGTCATCATCATCATCATGATCATCATCATCATACAGATTCTTCATGTTCAGAAACCATATCAAGTTGGATGTAGGTAAAGCTTGTGTTCGTGCTACTGGGCCGGTTCTTCGCAAATGGCACTGCAGTAAACTACAGCAAGTTGGCATGATGTTGAGTTATTGGTCCTCTCGTGGCCTAGGGTTGTTGCAAGATGCTGAGGCGTACCCAATGTATACGTTGCCCATGGATACGCTCCTCCGCATGACCGCAGTGCGACCGCATGAGGATCGGACTCAGATTTTGACCACTGGTCGGAGATTTGAGCTGCGCACGATCGAGCGAGGAAGTGAGTGATCAGCATGTCGCGCACACAGACATTTAAACCTGGCGGTGCCCCAGACACAGCCACATCCTTTTCGGTTGAGACCCGCGAAGTGCTTTTTCGTGCTCTTGCGAGGAGCTCCTGAATCAAGGGAGCCTGGTGGAGTTCGAGGAAGTCTTGGGTAGGCAGGGGTGTTGCTTCGACGTCGTTTCCTGTTCGGCCCGTTGCATAAATCCTAACCATTTGTTGAACAAAGCTGTTTTTTGGGCCCAAAACCCGCCCGCGCCGTGCCCGGATGGCCCCACACTGTCAGACTCGCAACCCCAGTGCGGGATCTTGCAAGCTAAGTTGAGAAGGAGCCTCAGTCTCCAAAAGTTGGGTTCCCCTGTCGGCTGCAGCGGGCGTTTATCATTTGGCTTGGGGTGACATGGTTCGGTGCCCGAAGGGATGCCCGCGCTGATACTTGCGGTCGCTGTAACACCTGGGCTTCTGTTCATTGCCACGTCCGGGTGTCTTTTGACTAAATTTGTTCTCGCCGGTCAGTACAAGGTAGACCTTCAGCCCAACGCTTCAAAACCCCCAACCAAGCAGCCTATGGGATGTCAGGGCGATGTTCATCTCGCACCAGTGGCTCGCGAATGAGCATCCAGACCCTGAAGCTCAACAATGGAAGGCGCCCCGGACAAAACGGACTGAATTTGCGCACATCGCAGAACAGCCGCAGGTTTGGTTCCAGAAGTGTTCCATTCCCGGATTTCGGTTTTTCAGGTTGCGGTTCAATTCCTTTTGCCGGAAAACTCTTGCAGCACTGGTCGCAGTAGTCGACGCATGCACCGCTGCTGGTGATCTTTGTTTTTTTCGTTGACCCTAAACCCTAAACCCTAAACCCTAAAAAGCCGCATCGGCGAGCTTCGGTGTTGTGGCTCCACTCGCGAGACTAGGCAGCACGTTTCAAGGATGATAAGTTTCTAGGCTCGAGGAAGGTTCTGAAAGGGTTTTGCGGCTTGGTATCGCCACCCCTATGTTCTTCATAATTCTATTCAGTCATGGGGACGTCCACTCGAAGGCGCTGGAAAGGTGCGGGAGATGCATTGTCAAGTTAACGGTAACATGGCTTGGTAGCAGTTTTGCAATATTGAATCACGAGAAGGGATGTGATGTTTCATGCTGCCCCATGACCCGTTTCCAGATCCAAAAAGGTTTGCATTGCCCAGACGCTCGTGTTTAGGAAAAAAGTTGTGCAAGGCCGTCTCGCTCGCGTTGTGGATGCAAGCAAGCCTTTCTTCTCCGAGGTGCTTCAAGAAGCCATACGCAACCTTTATTCTGGAAGGCGCTCTGGCAGTTGCGCAGGTGGTTGTTGAGCGTACGGTATGCGGAACGTTTTTTCCTTTAGTCGACGACATCATGGCCAGCATTCTTCAGTTGAGTGAAAAACTGTGCGCAGATTTGTTCCTGCATAGCTGCTGCCAAAAAGCATCCTATCAACATTGTAGGCAACTGTAGGCCAGGGGTTTTCAGGGTTGATTTCGAGTTTTACCTAATGTAAAGTCAATCTTCAAACGGAATGATGCCGCTTTTGAGGCTACTTCCCACCGGGGCAAGTTTGATTTGACCACCTTGTGTGACTGTGTGACAGGACGAGAAACCTGGCAGTGTTCTGCCGGCTCCCCATTATTCCAAAGCTTATTCACGAGCGAAGCTCGGATCCTGTAAGTTGTGGGTTTAGGGTTTAGGGGTTTGGGGTTTTAGGGTTTAGGCGAAGCACATGATGGCAGTCATCAAGTCCGGTTTCAACTGGCGAAGCACTTGAATTTAGAAGCTTGGAAGCCTGGACAGGAGCCTGGTGACGCTCCCAATCCAAAGCGAGTATTTCTACGGCCGGCATTCCACCCTCTCGCGCGAGGCCAGTGACAAGTAGACAATGGTTATTTGGGGCTTATGACTATGACTATGGTTTGCTGCTTCAGGGTCCTTGATGAGAGCCTTGAAGAGACGGATTTGGCACGGTTATGAAAACCCCTCAATCGAAACCGTAAACTGATAAACCCTAAACCCTAAACCCCTAAACCCTAAACCCCTAAACCTTAAACCCTAAACCCGGGCATCCACATGGAAGGGTCTTAGCTTGTCCGAGTGGGGTTCAACCTCGAGGCCCTTGATGCTGGAGAAGGAAGGAAGTAGGCGTAGCAGCCCATTCCAGAATGCAGCTGCCCCAATCTTAGCCGAGTAATCCTGTGGACATCCTGTGCACTTGGTTAGTATGTGCTCTATTCCGTTTAGCAGATTATCGCGAGGGCCAATTCCTTCAATTCACGCATCTAGGATTCAGGTTGTCTGAATTTGGTGCGGGGTTTAGGGGCGCTTCGGAGTTCAGGGTTCGCCTGCCAATGTCGATCCTTCTTGTGTTCCGGCTGGCATCCTCAAACAACCAGGGGACAAGTATCCAACATCTACACAAGCAACTACATGATACTCTAGGTCCAAGTAACTGTTTAGGGTTTAGGGTTTAGGGTTTAGGGTTTAGGGTTTAGGGTTTAGGGTTTAGGGTTTAGCTGCTTCTGTGCAACCCAGGACTTCCAATCCAAGCCGCTGTTCATCTGGACACTTGGCGGGCAAGAGGTTCGAGCATGAGTTCAAAGCGGATCGGTGATGCTCGTGGCCAGGACGATAATGCTCATCATTAGAACATGGCCGTGGCCATTCTCATGTGGTATTAATAAACCCAAAACCCCAAAACCCAAAACCCTAAACCCTAAACCCCTAAACCCTAAACCCTAAACCCCTAAACCCTAAACCCAAAACCCCAAAACCTGACGGTTGCTGTGACTTTCCGTGAGCGAGGCCGCGCTTCATTTGTTTGGCTTTCTTTCTGGGCCCCCACTTCGGCCGAGCCCGCCGGTACGACTAGGATACATGTGTAGTTGTAGTTTATGGCGAAGAGGGTTAAGGGATGTTAGGGTGCCGTGTGTTGCAGTGTTCGGTTCTTGTTGCTTGTGCCTGGGGACAACCATATCAACGGTCCTTCTACCCTACATGAAAACATGTTTCTCTTGCTCTTCTTCAGCACGTCAGGAGCAGCTCGGTTTGGGTGCTCTACTGGGCTTGTCGGTTGGTGATGAAATCTGCTTGTGCAAACCACTCGGTTGCTTAGTTTTGCAAATCCATTTTGAAATGCTTCCTGAGGGTTCTAAGTGCGATAGCAGCCTGAAACCCTAAACCTTAGGTACGATTACGTGTCGTGCCCGCAAGCTGCGGATTCACGTGGCCAAGAGCATCAGAAGCAAGCCATTGACAGCATCGTGTCTTACATCGAGCGCTGCGTGCACCTGGGCAGGATTCATGTAGGGTTGAGGATTTACGGTTTTCTTGGCTGGCTGACCCCCGCCCG